GTGTCCTTGGGTTGTGCATATATGCACATAAATTCTTTGGTTACTCTCTCCCCCTCCACCCACCCGCCCTCCTCCATCCCTCTGACATTCATCAGTCTCATCTATGCTTCCATGTCATTGAATCTATTCTGTTCATCAGGTTATTAAGTTCTTTAGATTCCACATATAAGCGAGATCATGTGATATTTGTCTTTCGCTGCCTGGCTTATTTCACTTAGCATAATATTCTCCAGGTCCGTCCATACTGTCTACACCATGGAATACTACGCAGCTGTAAAGAAGAAGAATCTTGTGGCCCAGGTTTCTTGAAAGAGCAGCAGCCAGTGCACACTGCAGACCTGCCACACACACAATCACTACCTGCGGTTACATTATCTGCCGAGATCCCTGGCCCGGGTCTTGACTCACCAGCCCTCAGTGGCTTACTCAGAGACCAGGGAAGGCTGCATTTCACTATCCTTGACTTCACCAGTCAGCATTCGAGGTCTGCACTGTCCCTTCTCCACAATCCTTATGGGCCCTGCCTGTCCACCTGACAGCCCCTGCTCCAAGGAGGTCAGGGAGGGCTCTCAGCTCAGTTTTGGAGACTACCTGCTGGGTGTCAAGTGCCTTTTATGACAGGGATTTTGAACCTGGGGCCCAGGAGAGAATTCAGGAGTCCATTTAGAAGTTTTTTTTCACTATCCCCGAGCTGATATTTAGCATGCCCTTCAATCATGGGTGTGGGCAATCCACCCTACAGTGTCAGCACCAGAAATCACCGCTCTCCCGTCACATTTCAGCTACTGCAGACATAACAAAATGCTGCTCACACTCAGCACAACCTCGAAATTACGGCACTTATGTTACTCACTGCTAGGTCTTGCTTTTTACTGCACTGATAAAAAAGCACAGCCACAGGTCAATAGGATTGGTTTCCTCCATAATCCTATGTATTTTATGTTGAATGCACTTAAAAACGGTTCTGAGAAGGCTTCCCTGGCTGCCTGGTGGGGTCTGCGGGGCGGCAATGATTTAGAAGCTCTGTTTTAAGGAATCATGTTTTTATACCTACAATAATCTCAAAAGTAGGTGCTATTATCCCCACTTTCCACAGAAAATCGAGGCTTGAAAAAATAAAATCTTAAAAGTGAGGCTTGACGGGTCTGTGACTTGCCCAAGGCCACGCGGCTGCCAGCTGCTGAGGGAGAAAGCTGGAGGGAGAAAGCTGAAGGTACCCGACTGCCACAGGCAGCACCAGGGGCCACTGTCGGGGAATGACGTGAAATGGAATGTGCCCAGGCCTCAGCAACTTGCACTTTGTTTGCTTTTAACTGGCCACCTCAAAAGAAACCAAAGTTCAGGAAACTGCCCCTAGGCCTCCCCCACTGTCCCG